TTCAACTTTATCTCATTATTGATTTCATGAGTTTTGAAACTATAAACTTTTCTTATCTTACTGATGCTTGAATTTTGATGTTTTGAACAACCTCCGATCTGATGATCGAGCTTTGGATAATAGAAGCACAATCTTCTTTGCATCATTGACACTACAAAGGTTTGTATTTGTGATTTGGGTTTTATATAATATAATTAGGGTTAGCAATTTTGGCTAGTTCGTGCAATTGGTGTAACATCTATGACTCAAAATTTGATATTGTTTGGATTATTGGATGTGCTAAGTGTATACAAAATTTTGTGATAATCTAACGGTGTGGTTTAGAGATATCTGGTTTTTAGCACAAGAAGGTTTCGGAAGTTGGCAGTTTGGGGTTGGATAAGATTTCCATGATATCTGGAAATCTACAAGTTGGATCAAGGTAAAATTTTGCTTGGTATTGAAAGACTTGAAGATCAAGTTTCATACTAATTTTGAGTCAAAGTTAATGATTAGAAAAGGAGAAATCACTATTGAGATTTTTTCTTTACTTTTCAAGTTGATGACCGAGTAATATCAGTGTAATATTTGGAGGTTTTCTCACAATTTATAAATTGGATTGGGCTAAAAATTCTTGAGCGTATAGAAGACTTACATTGACAATTGCATGCAAAATTTTATATCAAGTAGATGGTCAAATTAGATGTTATAGCTTGTTAAAGCTCATTGATTAGGATTAGGGCTTATAAGTAAAAATTTAAATTGCTTAAATATGAAAGTAACAAGATAATTGGGATTTATGTATGATTAAGGCTACTAAGAAGAGTATTTTTTTAGCACTTTTGAATTAAATTTTGGATTATATTCTTATCATATGGATGAAACTTATTAGGTTTATTTTTTGGATGTTGGTAAAATACAACTTCACCTTCCATAGCTAGGTGCCTAGTGCATTTCCAAGCAAGACAACACATAATACGATAGCGGCATAGAACTTTGTATTATAGGTCTTGCTTCACAATTTCTAAAATCTATAACATCGGCCCTCTCTGCAATCCTAATTGCCTCTTTAAATGTTTGTGGATCTCTTAATTCCACCTCTTACAGGATCCTAAGTTTCAAACCTCGTAGGAATCAATCCATTATCTCCACCTTTCAAACATTATCAATTTGAAGACATAGGAATTTGAATCAGAAAACATAAACTTGCATCAACTTAAATTATGTAAGATTTGTCAAATAATTGTATGCTATCTTTTCCACATTGATGGACTAAAATTGATTCCTAAACTTGGTTTCAAACTCCTCTCAATCACAAAATTGACCTTCAGCTCCACAGCTTTGAACTCAATGTCACCACCAAATGGCTGTCGTATCTCTCAAATAGTTGGTTGCATATATAATTTCTTCAGTGGTATTTGCCCTAGATAGTTGGAGGTATTATTGCATGTTGAAGAACCATTGATATATATGTATATATATATCTTTTTGTTTTGAAGTCCCAGAGTATATACTAAGTTTATTCAATTTTAGCCTAACAAATGTCAACTGCCTTGTCCTCAAGGCTTCTATTTGCCCTTGCAAAGTAACTATCTAGCCTAAGAAGTATTGTATTTGAGCCTCCATCTAAGATTGCTCTGTCATATCTTCCATGCTGTAATTTCTCTGGTAGATTCTACTATTATAATGCCTTCTCATCTTGCATTTGATTTTTTAAGAGTAACTCGTGGTAGTCTCAATAAAATACCTAATATGACTATAATAATTGATCTTAGACTAGATGATGATTATTGATGCATTACCAAAAATAAACAATCTAATACTTACTTTGATACTAATAAAATATGATCGGTCTATTTCAAGTGTCCAAGATCCTTGTAATCCACAACCACATAAAATCTCATAATAAGATAGGAAAAATTGGATCAAAATCAAATTGTATAAAATTTAACAAATGGGATACAAAAGACAAAACTGAGCAGCAAGAATTAAGACAAAACAGAACAAAACAAAAAGATACAAAATCAAATTGTATTAAGAGAAAGGATCCAAAGCCATACTTGACCAAATGCTCCAAAAGGCCCTAGCCAATCCTATTTATACTTTGTTCTACTACCTTAGAATTTTTAGAATGTTCCTAGGTGGTGGATCCTTCTTACAAGCCTACTTATGCCATAAAATACAATTTTCCTCTATTACTAGATCAACTACAACCTATTGAAAAAGAATCTCATATTAAGAATCAACAACCAAAATGATTAATCTAGATAAACTAGATAATTTTTTTGATACTTGATATTATTTGGGCATCTTCAAATAAAATAATTCCATATATATATATATATATATATATATATCAAAAACAAAACATGAACTATATCTTCAATAATTATGTCTTTTTGTGATTAAAGAATGCCAATTTTTTACAAGTAATTTTTTATAAAAATAATATAGTTTTTGTAAGATACAATATGTCTTACCTAATAATACAATCTTTTATATTATAGTGTAATATTTTTTATGACAATCAAATTATTAAAAATACTAATAAATTAAATTTATATTTGATTATTGAATAAAATCTATTACAAAAATTATTTGGTAATAAAAGATTTAAACTTAATCAAAGTTGAAAAATTCATAAACTCTTAGACAACTAAGTCATTTTATCTGTGTTATAAGACTTCAACACAAACTTTCCTACACTAATAGTTGAACATATGTTTATTATTCTCTAAAATAATAAATATCATAAATATCATTGTGTTGTTTAGGTGAGAACCTCTTCTTTAATAAAACAAAAAGTCTTCTACTACGAGCAAAAAAATCTATCTTCAAATTTTTATTTTGTAAAACAAAGAAAAAAAAAAATATAATAAAAACTTCCAAATTTTCTTCTAATTTCAGAAACTCAAATGAAAAAACAATACAAACAAGAAAAACAAGAAAAACAAACAAACAAACAAAAATAAATAAATAAATAAATAAATAAATAACGTTGTATATTCATCCTAGTCACAACATGAAGACAACCACCAAGTTCTTGCTTACCATGCTTACCATGTTCTCGCAACGTACGTTGCCTCATTTGAATGCCTGCAGATCCTTCTGACCTCTCCGAATTCAGCGAAATCGCTGCGTGCAGCCGACGGATCCGGCTGGAAGGGACTTGAATTCGTCGCGCTGGTCATGTGGCCCAGGCGCCGCACATCCCGTCGCCTTTCGCGGCTACCCAGGCGCTGCAGTTGGGCATTGCGATGCAGGACCGCAGTATATAAGTCCCATGTCACCGGCTGCTGGACAAACTCGGCCGCTGCTCCTAATACTCCAGAAGTCCGTGAACGCGTCGATCCGTGCGACAGACCTCGGTGCTTCAGAACTCGATGGCGAGGAGTGGCCTGCTTCTACTGGGCCTTGTGGTGGCATCGATGTGCCTGGCAATCGCAGGACGTGTTCTGACCGAACCGGCCCGGAAGCTGGCCGGAGCCGGAGACGTGTAAGATGTGGTGAACGCAGCGGAGATGGGCAAGATCGTCCAGCTGACACTGGTCTTCGACCTCACGCAGGTGCCCAAGAGCGTGCAAGGGGTAAGGATGACGGTGTTGGAAAAGGTGGCGGGGAGAGCGAATACGGTAGTGAAGGACGTGCGAATGAAGCTGCGGAGTCCCGCCGCAGTGAGCGTTCAAATGGAGATGATGGGCGGAAAGAGAGAGATCGTGGTGGACTTGAGCAAGGCAGCGACGATGGCGGTGGGAGACATAGTGACAGCGGTGTGTAGATAATTGCTTCTTTTGAATGTTTTTGTTACATTGTTTGTCAAACGAAAAGACCAATATATATTTCTATATATAGTAATTCAGTTTTAGTTTTTTGTTATCTCATATCAAAACCATTAAAATAAGACAATGAAATATTTTATTTGCCTTAGTTAACAATGCCACAAATAGAAAATACATTTGAAGTTTTATGCAATTTGCTATCGATGTTTTGCATATTTATAAAATTTATACCAATTCTCCTGAATAAATCGTAATTTTGAATGTGCCAAAACTAGCTTTTAATCTTCTCTATGATTCCAAAAAGTCACAAATTTCAAACAAACAAAAAAACCAAGATTTTTTTAATTCATTCTGTCCAATCCAAACTGACATTATTACAATTTTGTTTTTAAAAAAAGCAAAAAGAATAAAACAAATCTAACAACTTTTTGTTTTAAAACTTGATGTCACAACACTACATTATGTGTTAGTAAACTTGGGGTAGCAATGAAAAAAAACAAATACCTAGCCACAAACATGACCAGCACACTCTACTCTATTGCTGAAAATATAGGGAGCTATGTAGAGGTAGGTGATCAAGAACAAAAAGATGCATTCACATAGACAAAAGTAGGACTTGCTCTGATGCCATGAAGTCTACATGCCAACCTTCCCACCTTTTAAAAGACACTAATAAAAGAAGACTCGCACCCACAATCGGAACATTTTTTGGCAGACAAGGAATGATGATTCTATGTTTTCACTGTCATAGTGAGTTGTACACACTAATATTTATTTTCTTCCATGTAGAAAGCATGGTACAACTTCTTAAGGTCAGCATTTAAATATCCAAACCATTGCTACAGCATGTTTCATCCAACAAGAATGCCTTCGATGTAAAAGTCTTCTCAGCACATTCCAATTTGCAAGCAATTTCAGACGAAGTATTTCCAGTTCTAGCCACACTTGAACTGCTTCATATCAAACCTGCTTTGCGTTCAATGAGTGCGGTTTTGACACTGGTGTGCCAATCCATCTCATTGTCGTACAAAGCAAGATACACCGTATCTTTCGGACTGTGCAAGCAGAAAATTTCAGTGTCTTTGAACGATTCAATCCCTTGTCTATAATTCGAAGACAAACATACCTGGGCTAGGCAGATCACTATGCCTGCAACCATCAAACTGGACATAACAGCTCTGCATCGCTTCGTTGGCGAAGGAGAACGAGGAAGGCACGAGACAACAGGGTTGCGGGACTTGATGCCATAAAAGCATTGATTCTAGGATATTCACAGTTTATTGCAAAGACAAGAAGATGTGCATATTTTTTCAATGTACTCTTCCAACGAGTTTCAGTATGTTCGGCCTTACGAAATCGAGCATCAAACAATTCACGATACAAGAGCTCCAATCCTTGTCTTCTCCGAGCACAAGCAAAGTCAGCAGGACTAAGAAGAGGCTAGTGGAGCACAAAATAGGAGCACACAAAAAACTATTCCGAAAGTGGGAAGTATCACGAAGGACGGGTTTTCTCTGGATCCTCAGGAACTTCAGATGCATCGCCTTTCTTTGGAGACAAAGAGGGTTGCTCAGATCCTACCGATTCCTCCGTTGTTTTGATTGCGCGAGCCAGGTAGCTTGGCTGATCCTCCCCAGCCATGACCACGTAAGTCAGCTCCACGCTTGTAGTGCACTTCTTGGGATCGGAGTAACCATCTTTGGCACCGAGGTCCACGGCATTCAACCCAGCAGCGTCATGCAGCGCTTCCCCATCCATCTGGGCCTGGGTCTGACGCTCTAGGTCGTTTGCTACCCGCCTGGCATACCTCCTGCGGACTATCAATCTGATGCACAGCCACAGAAGGAAGAGAGTGGTGAACCCTGAGGCGAGCACAATCAAGACCAGCCCCCAAACTGGCACACCCTTCGTTGATGACGATGACGATGATGATGAAGACACTGTTGAGCTTCCCCGCCCACCTGGAGGATAGTTGTAGTAATATCCATCATACGGCCCCCGCCGGTCACCAGGTCCCCGTCCATATTCCATTTGATCGAGGATGTGATTTCTTCTCAGATTGCTAAATGAACTGAAGACAAGTGTTCTGCTCCTCGTGTTTCAGCACCTGTCGAGTTTGAACAATTGACGTGAAGTTCAGTACTGTGTCCAAGCATACTATCTTCCCCATCTTTTCAATTAGCAAGTCTGAGAATCTTGATGTTCACAAAGGTTCGCAGTGTAAGAACTTCAATGAAGACCAATGACATTTCTAACTACACTAACCCCATCTATCGGTGACTACTGTTCTAGTGTCTCGTTTCAGATTCCTTCGAAATTGAACGAGGTCGCGCAACGTCGGACTTCGATACAGCTTTTCGTAAATCAGAACGGAAGGGTGAAACAATGAGCGTTAATTTGGACGATGTTGACACCCTCAGAATACAATTCTCATAACAAAACGGCAATTGTCTACATTTTTGGCATAGTTTTGCGCGGCTGCACGAAACTTAAATCTAACTAAACCCTGGATACTACCTGCTAACATTGTGCATCTCTTTTTTGGCAAAAGGAAAATTAACTGTATCAATTAGAACAATGATGCCTTCTTAAAATTGCACTTTCAAAATGAGAGCAAGGCATCTCGAGTTCATCTATGCACCAAGAGACAGACACCAAAAAGAATGGATGTCAGTAAAATACTTAAAGCACTCACTACGGCTGTAACAGAACAAATTAAGACCACTTGCCTGCAGGTGGAGACAGCCGCATGGGAAGAATCAAACCTAGAGCCATAGCTGCAAAACTGTGAACCAAATTAAATCCATATTTCCAAAGGCAGCTTTCTGCTTCACAGTCAACGGTGTCCAAATCCGCAAGTTCTTCACCTCCCTTCTCAACTTCCCCGGCTCTGGGAGCGCTCTGAAACCTCGAAAGATCCCATCAAGAAATTATCTACAATTCAGTGCACTCAAGAAGAATTGGTACTCACCAGCCTTCCTAACAATCCAAGCTCGTGTCGAGCAAACGCCCTCATGTCGACTGAATCAAGAGAGTAGTGGAGAACAATCTTAGGAAGCAGTTTCATGCTCGCACCTATGGAAATTCCGTACTCTGACAATTTTCGCCCTGCCGATGGAGCAGGACCGCTGCCTTTGGTCCAACCAGGATCCAAGACTAAGTCACAAATGTAAGCTCGTCTTTAAAGGTCGTCAACATCTGACATCTTTCAATTCCCACCGTCAAAGACTGAAACAATCGTCAAGCGACAACCCACAAAAGCAGCTCTTACTGAAGAAAGGTCATCGTTCAGCGTCCCAAAGTTCGGGATTCCCTAGCATCTGCCAACAGAAATCACTGTTCACTTGAATTGGTGAGAGTGCTGAGGAACGTGACTTGTGTATTATCATCCAATCCGCAGCCACGTATCCACAATATTCTAGTTTAAGAGACTGTCGTTGAACTTAGACTGTGGAGACACAGTAACATGCGCACTTCATTGAAAATTAGATCCGCTGCACTGTTGTGCATTTACTTTTTGATCAAGAACAGGGTACAGGAAGATTGCGGGTCGTCTGCAGTGGCTGCTGCTACTACTACACTCACACACCATCATTGGCTGCTGCTACTATTATACTGATAATACAAGATGGTATGCTCCATGACAGTTAGACATGGAAGCACTTCCCTCTGACTGTTGAGGATGGCCAGGAATTGGTGGGAAGGATGGAGCAACATTGTAGCCTCTCACTCTTCACTAAATATGAAAGACGCAATGGAATAGAGGTAGTTAAAATCCCACCCCGTCGAATCATCGTCAGGGTCTGGGCTTGGCATCATTGGAAAGAGGCCCATCGAATTGCCGCTTCACCTATGAAACCAAGGAGCTTACTCCTACCTAAAAGTGTCCGTCAACAAGTTTGTCTCATCACTGAACGGATCGGGAAATGTCAGCATGGATCTTGGTTTTGAAAAAAACTGCTTGGTTGCCAAGTTGCCTAGATGCAAACGGGATCAACGCTGAAAGCAAGGCATCCGGGCATTCTTCATGCGGTAGATGTCCACAATTTGGTATTGCCAGTAGCCTCTGCAGATGACCAGAAACGAGTCAAAAACATATCTATGTAGAGAAAGTCGAAGATAAAACTGCATTGCAGCTATTTTACATACACACATTCAACGCTTTATGCGACAACAAATATGTTAAGAGACGCACCGAGCTTGGAAGCTGAGAAGTCAAAGATTGGGCAGATTTTATGGGCACCAGGTTATCTTGAATCCCCGCCACAACCAAGGCAGGCAAATCCGCCATACATCGCAATAACTCAGCCGCACTTGAGGTAGACAACCCCATAGTAGCCTTGCTAACCTCGGACAAGGCCTTGTCCCAGTTTTCGACGTGCAACGGCGCCTACAAAAACAAACAAGTAAAAATTTAAACACAGCTGCTATCAATACCAGTGCCTCCAACTTGACAAGATATTACGTACAGGAATTTTAAAAATCTCACGAATCAGGTTCTCAAAAGCTTAGTAAATGCATTACAGAAATGATTCAGGAATGTAAATCCAACCTTGTAAAGATCCAAAGTCTCTGAGGTGAGCTTCGAAGAATCATGCCAGGCACGACGAGTAGTAACCTGCGCAATTTCTGAGCGCAGAAGCAACCTCAGCATGTGACGCCCAAGAGTTGTGTGCAACAATACTCGAGCAAATGATGGAACAACCTCTCTTGCAAGACTAACACACACCAGGACCAATCCTTTCACTTCAACCTGAAGTTCACAGCACGACCCAAAACATTGGTTAGACAGCTAAAGACTCTTTTTAACGCAAAACCACTGAATACATAGCTGGGTAGAGGACTCGGCACAAGCAAGCAGATGAGAGGCAACATCGATAATGGACTTTCCAGTCTAACCTGTATAGAATCTCTCGACTTCAAAGCCTGGGCAGCGGCCATGAGCGCAAGCAGTCCTCCATCAGAATGACCGACTAGAACAACTGAGGTCAGCCCCAACTGCTTGCAAAAGGCAAAGAGCAAACCCACCTGCACCCATGACACAAATGTCATATTTCGAAATATGGTTTGCTTCAAAAAGCCTACCACGTGGCCATTTCCCCCGTGAGAAGGATACTTAGCACAGTAGAATGGTGTAGCATGTCTACCTGTGTCTGCAGTTCGTAAGGGTTTGGCAGTCCTTTCGGTTCCCACTCAGTTCTTCGAGGCCGAATTGTGAGTCCCCACCCAGGTCGATCGAAGGCAACAACCCTACAACCAACTTCCCTGGCTATGGTGCCCATGACATGCCTCCATGAAAATACCCCACCGCCAAAACCATGAATGAAAATAACCGCAGAAGTTTTTCCATTAAACTCGCTACTTTCAGTATTCGATGGGACCGAGGGCATAATCTCTGATCCGTTGCGAGTTTGGTGCAGGCTTGCAGGCCATTCATGAGGAGCTGGTGGAATATTTCCCCAAGATGAGGATACACAAGTCAAGAAGTTATAATCGCCTGCACCATCCCTCGAAATCGGTGTATCAACAGACGTAGGCGAAGTCTCGATGATAGACGGCCGGGCAAGTGGGTTCCACGTTGTCGAAAAACCAGATGAATCTTTGGAAGATGAGCTGTGTGGGTGTGGAAACACTTCGAGGCTCTCATAACTATTTCTCAAGGGAATTTTATTGAGCAAACTACCCTCAATTAATTTGTAATGCACGAGAACCCCCCTCACATCCATAAACAAACTATCATAATCTGCAAGCAGATGAGCCGGCAAATCATTTTCCTCCTGTTGAAGATTGGTTATCAAATTACTCTCCAAATCGTTTCTCCTGAGAAATTTTGGTGAAAATGCTCGAGAAACACGCTGGTATCCATTCATTGAAATCTTGCTGCTCGAAACCTGCTAAAAAGACACGAGCTGACGATTAGCACCTATCGTAAGCAAAAAAGTCAACAATGCACACACATCCGTTACTCTACTTCTGAAAAGCGCCTGACTATCCAAAAAGTGAAAAACCGACATGGAACAAGAAGTTTTGCACGTGTTACACCGTTACTTACCCCATCCAGATCTATTTTCCTCAAATACAGCTTGCGACGAGCCTGACACCTTGTCTTATAAGCTACAAAAATGTGCACAATTGCGAACACGGCTGATGCGACCAGAAGCAACGGCAGGCCCATTTTGTATCTTCTTTCGACCGCCAGCGTTGGAGTTCCGGTGGAGACATAGAAATTCTCGTACATACAAGCCTTGACTGATAGAAGCACGGTAGTACAAATCCCGGATATGATAGTGATACACAAGTAAGGAGCATGGCAGAGACTCGGAACACCGCAAAGAGCATGGGCGCCTGCGAGTGAGCTGAAACATAAGGAACGACAACGGGAACTTGAAAAGCGTGAAAACGGAAACGTGAAATGAACGAAACGTGCTAGATGGGTGTTACAAAGGAATGTGAGCTCTGTATTCAGAATATAACTTACATAGAGCAGCAACAGAGCGGCCCAAGGACAGAAGCGGGATGTCCACAAGAGAACCCCTACAACCGCAAGTTGCCAAGTCTGCTCGGAATGTGAAACAAGAAGAGCAGCAGGTGAAAGTGGAGAGAACGATGCCAATGTCTAAGATGGAAACGAGAATGGGGCCTGATGGCACAATCAGTGACCCCACCATGTTTATCAGGAAAAACAACGTCCTCCCAGTTCTTTTGAGACTATCCATGCTGCTCCTCCCTGCTCCTCTTCCTGAATCCATGGTGAGGAACCTCCAGGGGACGCCTGAGAATTAGTCGGTGGCGCAAAACATGCCAATCTCTCTACCGCGAAAACTCTTGCAATCGTAGCTCCGCTTATGGTGAACCCGCTTCAGAAGAATTAACCACCACGGACAACGATACCGTGCAATCGAGCTTGGATCAATAATTTATGTTTACAGTAAAGCTGCGTATGAAGTGCTGTCGAGAGGATTCGCAACTCCTGGCAAATCCAGCAGCGCACTGCTCCAATTGTCTGTATGCCCTTTCTATATCCGATCGAGTATCTTCAAGTTGGCGTGCTCCAAAAAAAAAAAACAGATGGGCAGTAGTATTGATCCTTCGATGGTGTAGCCAGGGGCGAAACTTAGCTAATCAAACCCTTGTGCTATTGAAAATCAGATCCATTACCATTATCTTTTAGTAAGTTAATGAATCTTTTAGCGATGATCCCAATTACTACGAAGCTTGCAGCACGGTAAAGCTGAGAAAACTGAAACTGATCAAGCGCTGTTGATCGAAATTCGACCTCTATCTTAAAACCCCTGCACTTACATAAAATATTCACACGAACAGTAACTGAGGCCCTAAATGACTTCTCCCTACTTCGCGTCCAGAAGCATGATCGGCAAGTAAGCGATTCAAAATACGATTTAATTCCGCCTAATGTCTCACACTAGATAATGACTAGCTACGCGGTCAACCAAGACCAATTTCCAGGTGCGATGTCGGAAAATCAACACGAAATCCAAACGACTTCTTAAACGAATTCGAAAATTTAACGAAATTTCCTGATCCTAATGAATTTATCTAGAAACGACCAAGCTCTAGTTGAGCCCAATATAAGTCCGACTTATGACACTACCCGCTTAAGAATAATTCGTGGCAGAATTCTGCGAATGGTCGTGGTAGTGGCGAAATTTGTAGGTAAGGACTTTATTGGGGCATGAAGGAGAGCCACCAATGCAACTGCTTCGAAACACTCACACCACTCCCCCTTCGTCTTTTAAGACTAGGAACTGAGTTGGACTTGTCCTTAAGGACGGCCGGGCCTACTATATCTTGCCCAATGAAAGGTCAAAGTCCTAGACGTGACCGAAAAACTGATTGCTTACACACCAGCAACAAGCACTCGATCCAAAGCACTCACAATTGCACCACGCTGCTACAGCAACGGTTGCTTCATCGCATCAACACACCTCTCTGAGAACCCAGGAGGAAGTAGAAGAAGAAGAAGAAGAAATCTCTCGCACACGGAACCAAGCTCATTGCCTCCACCAGCACTCGCAATCCTGATTCCGACGATACGCGCCCTTCCACGACCTGCTGAGAAAGCGTCTGTGCCGAACAGACACGGCAATCCACATGCTCCAAAGGTCTCCCACTCTCGTACACAGCTCCTTCAGGCTTGAAAATTTGCTGTGAACTACAGGCGCACAATCGCGCGAGCGGGGAGGGAACTATCAGAACATGTGGGAAGTTGTTCTTCAACCAACGTACGATTCAACCAGAGTGACAGGCCAATACCAAACTATTCTGGAGTATGTATACCCACCTCTCGGATGAGCGCTCAACAGAGCGGATTTTACAGCGTCGTCGCAGCGCTCCGTGCATCGGGACCGACGTCGGCCAGTGTTACGGAGCAGGGTCGCGACGCGGCTGCCTGATCGAAGACAAAGTTGGAATTCAGGGACTCGGCCTTAATGGAGGCCTAACGGCTCCTGGCGGGGATTTCACTCTCCGTGGGTGTGAGTCTTCTTGAGTTGCCATTAAGATTTCGTGCAGTGGATCTTCTCAATCGTGTGCTAAATTTGGAAGTATGAAGAAGTTGAAATCTTTCAATTTTTTGAATAAAATGAATAGAATTAAAATGTTAGTTATGAATTTTGTAAGGACATGTGTCGAATGCAGATAATTGATTTATAAATGTATATATATATATATATATATATCCATATAAGTTGAATTCGGTTTTGTTTATATTTTTATTGGAAAAACCAAAAAAATATATTTGTATCAACATTATTTTAAATCAAATTGAAAGAAAACTAAGGGAATGTTAAAGCGACCCACCTTTATACTAAATTGACCTACCCTATTTTAAACCATCATTAGAAGAAAAAATCATGGTTATCAAACTTAGCCTGATCTCAACTCTTGCTTCTTCTGTTTCCATCTTCCATCCCAACTTCCTTGTTCTTTCTTAGAGATTTTGCCATTATACTATACAACAAGAGAGTTGATACAAACTTGTGTGTTTTACCACATAGTTTGATGTATAGGTTGCTAGGATAAGACACAATGTGGAATATATTGTTCAATTAAAAGTTGATCTAGAAGGATATTGTATGCCTTTACTATTCAAGCTTCAGAATGAGTTTCTCAGTAAGTTCTTACTCTAAGCTATCATGATGAATAGAAGAGATGAATGTACACAAGAGTAACATCCTACACTCCCTTCTATTCTCATCACAATTCTTACTTCATATAGTTCTAAAGTCCTTTCCAGTAATGGTACTTCTACAATATATTCTTGCCTTAAATCTACTGAAGTAATTTGATCAAGTATTCTACTTTCTAACTTCTAAAGTGCTTTAGATTTTAATTAGATTTATGGTTGGTTTTGTAGAATTTCAATTATTATTTTTGGTGTTCTAGTATTTTCTTTCTTTGTTTCAATTTGTTCTTGTTGTATTACTTTCTTATATTATTGTATTATATTATCATATTATGTATCTTCTTACTTGAGAATGCATTGGGCACCAAGCTATGGGAGGTAAATAGAAATGCAACAACAATCCTATCAATTCTAATAAAATCTTAAATAAACTTTAAATAAACCTTAATAATTTCAATCAAACTTTAACCGATTCAAAATAAATTTAAAAGAAGTTACAATAGAAATACATGAAGTCCTAAATTACTTTCAAAGACAAATTACAAGAAATTTCAAATAAATAAAAAAATAAAATTTTAAAGATATAACAATAATCTTAAAGAAATACTAAAAATAAAAACTTTTAAAGTAATAATAAAAAATCCTAAATAAATACTAATAATAATTTTTAAAATAAATCCTAATCAAATCCTAATTTAATCTTAATTAAAATCTTAATGAACCTTAACCAAATCTTAGATCAAACTCTCATGAAATCCTAATGAAATCCTAATAAAATCTTAGACAAACCTTAGATAAATCCTAATCAATTCCTAGTCAAATCTTAATCAAATTCTAATTAAATATTAATGAAATCCAAATAAAACCTTAAATCTTAATCAAATCTTAATCAAATATTAGATCCTAAATTAATCCTAATCAATCCTTAATCAAATCCTAAATCTTAACCAATATTCTTAATAACCCTATAACATATTAAAATTTTAATAACAAATGATTGAACCATTGATTTCAACTCAAATCTTGCATACCTTGTAATAACTAAATTAGTAACAAGTACAAAAATTTTGAAGAAGATCACACATACCAAATATATGATAAACCCTAAAATCTGCTTGGATATTTATTGGCATCCTTTTCCAATCTTAATGCTAATCTCTTTGAGCCAAAATCTCTTAATTCTATTATTAAAAATCTTTTAAGATTCACATATATGATAAAAATTAAGTCTACTATCCATATATATAAATTTCACCTCAATCTAACAAGCAAATTTTTTCCATATGTAAATCCTTTTATATTTTACAAAATCAGATTCATTGAATACAACCTTGACTTTGCAAAGGTCTTATAAAATCATTGCAAATTCAAACTAATCAAATCTAATACTCAAAAAAATCCTACAAAGTCTTCTTTCAATTCTCCCTTTCTAATATGCAAAAGAACCTTCAAGTCGCCATAGGTTCATAATTATGTGCTTTGGGGTGTGATTTCAAATTAGGTTGATTACCAGTCCTTTCCAGGTATCAATTTTTAGTAATTTGAAGTAAGATTTACTTTAATCTATTGTTAACTCTCTTTTAAGCATGTCAATATTAATTTCTTATCTCATTTACTTTGATTTGTCTCATTTATGCCTCTACAAATTAAATAGAAGCTCTTTCTACAAAAGGCAGTATTAAGACTAAATTTTTTACTATCTTTCTATCATTTATCATTATTTTTCTATTATATCTTTCCACTACATTCTTCTAAAATAAAATCCATTTTATTTTTATTTTTTTATCATATAGTCATGTTACTACATGATATTTACCTCCTTTAAACATATGCATCCTTTGATATGTATCAAATAATTCAAATCTTGTTTGGTTTATATCATATTTTCCATTTCTTCATCAAATTCTTCTTTATTATTTTTCCTATTCAAGTCAAAATCATCTTCTTGTCTTAAAAGATTTGTATCTTCAACAAGATCTTTTATATTTATTTTTATTTAACTTTGTTTGAATATCTTCACTCGCTTTGTAATTAATATTTTTAACCTTGTTTAATCCAGCTCTTATAATGAATAAGTTGCATTGTTAAAAATAATTGTTATCACATATGGTCTAAACTATAATTTAGAATTTTTTTTTAAAAAATGCTATGTTGATTGTTCAAGCTACTATCATAGACTAGAATCCAATCACCTTCTTCAATTTCTTTAGGTCTAAATCAATGTTACTTATGAAACCGTGCCTTATTTTGTAACCTTGCCTTTTTTAATCTTTTTAATATTAATTGCACAACCTCTCATTTTTGCTTAAGTTGTTGAATTCTAATAGCTAAAAGTTATTTTATTGTTAATTTATCTTCTCATAGTAGCATACTCCAAATAAAAACTTTCTTTTCAATTAGCATAATAAGTTTTTGATCTTTTCATTATAAGCTTTAAATAATGCTTTTATAATTGGTAGATGATAACATTCACTTTTTGTATTTAATTCAAGATTATAAGCGGTAGTCAATAATAACTTTATTCTACATCTTTCAAAAAATTTATGAGCTTCTTATCCATTTTATTCTCCACAATTTGTAGTGATTATTCCAACACATCTATAGCAACAAATAACATCTTCTAGAAAATTGCCACAAATCTCTTTTGTAAAATTTATTTTCAATGTTCTATCTTCTACTTGGTTTAATAAATCTTCACGAGTCAAGACCAAATATCTCATTTGTCATAATCCAATTGATATAATAATCAAATCAACAAACAATTTAAAATGATTAGCCAAAGAATATGTTGAATGTAAGCCATCTCAATGTTATATATTAGAATATTCTTAATAAATTTTACATGATTCTAAAAATAAAATCACATCTCAATATATATTTTTTCACTAATATCATTCTTTAAGTTTAATAAAAGTAGCCCAAATTTGACTATGTCCTATCCATAAACTATTATAAAATTATTTTAATAATTTTTTTTGCTCTTCTTTATTGCCTATCATTTATTGTGGCATGCCAATTTATTTTTTTGATATCTTTCTTAAAAACTTTTCTGAAGCAAAAATCCATATGATTTTTTTATTTTTTTTATTTTTTTTATTTTTTTTTATTTCTTTAAATTTTTTCATAGACCAATTTTTTTATTTAATCAAGGTACTCAAAGAATAATCAATATAAAATAATTCTATTTCATAAAACTCTTCAAAAAATAAGTTGTTTTTTTTGCTAAGATTTGAAATTGAATAGAATTTGATCCTACATCATCAATGTCTTCAACCATTTTGTCTTTTCTTTCATATCTTGCTTGAGACAACATATCCGCCACTAAATGGTCCTTTCCAATAACATACTTAAATTTTGGATTTAATGTTTTGACATAAGAAATCCATTGTAGCATTGCAATATCTAGTATTGAACAATAAGTAATCATTCCAAGTAATGGCAAGAAATTTGTTTCAATTACTACTACTATATCAATAAAATAATCATTTTTAGCTTTCATAGCCAAAAAAACCCTCCATAGTTTTCTTTTGACTTGCAAATATGTACGTTAATAAATACTTGAAACTTTAGGTCTAAATCAAACTATAAATCTATTTCTACTTAAATCTTCTTTATTCACAAACCATCTAATAGCAATTGAATTAATATCTATAGTAAGTACTATTTGTCTATTACACTCATAATCAACTCTTCTTAAAATTGGAGGTGTCAACAATAATACCTTTAGTTTTTGCACTACTTCAATATTTTTTTTATTTATTTATTAATTTATTTATTTTCTTCTATTTAAATCTATAAACTTTATGTAATAAATCATACAATGGATTTGCTATATGAACATATTGAGGAATCCATATACAATAAGATATACAAGCTCTTAAAAATTTGTGTACTTCTATTAAAAAGTTATATATATCATTCATCCTTCCAATTGCATCAACTTTATTTAGATCTGATTTTCTTCTATAAAATCTACACAAATGTCCAATAATGATAACTTCTTATATTTTAAATATAGATATTTTTCTTAAAAGTATAAAAAGAACTTTTTTAAGTCAAGATAAAATCTTTTTACAATCTTGTATATAATCAATAATATACTTGTGACACCATTTCTTATCTAAACTTTCAACTTTTTTTCCTCTTTTACATCCTTTGATAGAAACATCATCTATAAAAGGCATAGTTTTTTTTAAGAATGAAGTCTTTCAATATCTTCTTCATTCTAATCATCATATGTGCAATTGAGTTTGTAAAACCTTAAAGAAGAATACACATTTTTAGCAATTCAAGGTATATTTTCATA